TATGATTTCACTTATATGCGGAATCTAAGGAATAAAAAGAACAAACTAATCAAAAACAGACTTACAAATGTAGTGGACAATTTGGTGACAGACAGAGTGGAGGGGCATTGGGGGGCTTGGAGAATGGGGTGAAGGGTTAAAGAAGTACAAATTAGTAGCTGATGGATGGTCACAGGGATGGGGAGCACGGCATAGGGAATGCAGTTAGTGTTAACACGTTGGCTAGGTGGAGGGTATGGGGAGGAAGGAAGCAATTGGGGAAATCGTTTTATGAACTATATAGGTATCTAACCATTGTACTGTATACTTGAAACTAATTAAATAAATTTTAAAAATAATAAATCACAGAAAAAAATACATGAATGAAGAATGGTGTCTACGGCCATGCCACCCTAAACACGCCTGATCTCGTCAGATCTCAGAAGCTAAGCAGAGTCAGGCCTGGTTAGTACTTGGATGGGAGACCATCTAGGAAGACCAGGTGCGTAGTAATAACTACATTTCTATCAACAAGTACCTCAGATAGAAAAGAGTTAAGTGCTCCAACCAAAAGATAGGGAAGCTGAATGATTAAGAAAAACAAGACCCTTACATATGCTGCCTACAAGAGACTCACTTCAGATTAAAAGACACACACAGACTAAAAGGAAGGGGTTGGATAAAGATTTTGCCTTGATGGACCTAGAAGATATTGCCTAATGAAGTAAGATAGAGAAAGTCAAATACATGTGGAATCTAAAGAACAACAAAAACGGAAACAAATTCATAGATATAGGGAATATTTTGACAGCTACTAGATGGGAGGGGAGGGGTTGGGGGGACAGTGAAAAAATGAAAAATGGCAAAGGGATTAAGAAGTACAAATGGATAGATACTAAATAGTCATGGCGATATAAAGTGTAGCATAAGGAAAATAGTCGACAATGTTGTAAAAAATATGTAAGTGGGAGAGGGGTACCTGATTTAGTGGGGTGACCACTTTATGAATTATATAGATCTCTAACCACTATATTGTACAACTGAAACTAATATATTATTGTATCTCAACTGTAATTGAAAAAACTCATTGAATTGTACAATGTAAATATGAGCAACTAATTGTCTATTATACTTCAATAAAGCTGGGGAAAAAAAAAAGAAAAAGAAAAAGAAAGAATTCCCTAGTTTTGTAAAACACAATCTATGTCTGTGTTTCATATGTCTTCAGGAATATAAACCAAACTGCTAATGTGTGAGCCCGATTTAAAGTTTGCTTGGGGAGCTGGGAGAGGGAAATGAGTTTTATTTTTTACATTATACATGTACGTATTAAGTTTGTTATAGTAAACATGTTTTACCGTTCTACATTTTTTCAAAAGAGAAATAATAAATCATTTTCCCCCTGAGGCTAAAAGGACATGGGCTCATTGTGGAAAATGTAGAAAAGTACGAAAAAGAAACTAACAATCACAACAGTTAACATTTTAGCATGTTTTCTTTCAGGTTACCTTTTATGCATTTTTTACATAGTTGAGTTCATACTGTACATAGTTTTGTATCCCATTTTGTTCTCTTAAGATTAAAACATAAGTATTTTCCCATGTCATGATAATATTTGGATGGCTGTATCATACACCATTTTATGGTTTCGTCACAATTCAAGTCATTTAATTAGCTATTTCTTAAAGTTGAACATTCAGGTTCTTTCCAGTTTTTCCATATTTAAAACGATTCTCTGATGAGCATCTCAGTAATGAAATCTGCGCATTTCTAAGTGTTTTCTTGGAATGGATTACTAGAAGTGAAATTACTGGATCAAAGAGTAGACTTCTACAAGTGGGATTATGGATAGAAAATATTTTTATGGATAACAAAAGGTTACACAAATTTTTATTCCCCTCGACGGTGTGAAAAGAGACTGATCAATCTCTTGCCAGTGTTGCATAGCATCCTTTTTTATTTTTTTTCTTCTATCTTTCCCATAGGAAAATGGTCGGTGACAGTGGTATCTCCGTTTTTCATTGCTAGCGAGACTGAACATTTGTCATATGCTAATTTATTCCCCAGTGGTATCCCCTCTTCTATGAACTACTTATTTCTATTTTTGTCCATTTGACTAAAGTCTTCCAGATTTTCTTATCAATTAAAATGAGCTGTTAAAAGATTTCAACCCTTCGTTTGTCATTTTGGTTGCAAATGAAAATATTTTTTACAAATTTGTTGGTTTGTAAAAATGTCTTGGCCATACGGTTTTTTTAAAAAGATAATTAGATTCTAAGTATAGCCGAGTTTGAGCCTTGAGTAAATTAGAGAAGTTTGACAGAAGATCTGAAAGGCCCATTTCAGCTAACCTTAAATTTAGATCATAGGCCGATTTAAAGATTGTTCAGCTCACATGCACTTTTAAATGGCTTAAAATGAGGTGGGGCGCCAGGGATGAAAGCAGTTTATGCCAGAAATTTTTAGAATTCTGAGGTAGGGAGCCAATTCTCTCAAGTCTCCTGCGTGTTTGAGAAGCAGAGTAAATTACAAGCAAGCGAACAGAATTCCTGATGGAAAAGTACAGCTCTGGGCTGCAGATGTGGGCATGGCCTGGTTTTAATTATTCCCCGCTCCTCGCCCGCCATTCTTTCTTCCACTCCCCTCCCCCCGCCACAATAAAGAGAGCAGCCAGATTAAGACTCTAAAGGATGCAGACTGTCTGTCCTTCCCACTTAAGGCCTGCTCCTGTGCAGACGGTTAGCACATCAAAGACCGGATGAAATAAATACCTAGGAAAGGAACAAACCAAACCTAGATTCTTCCAAGTCCCCCACCCTGCCTTCGTCTGGGCTTCAGCACAGGGTTACTGAGACTGCCAAGGGTAGCTCGACAGACTTCAAATACAAGAACGCTGCCAAACAAAGAAACTTTGCTCATTATTCTGA